TCTCTTAATTTTGTTTTACACAACTGTTTTGTAAACATGAGTTTAACACACTACTAACGCATTCTGACCTCTTAACTTCAGGTCAAAACGGTCTGACAAAGTCATCAATCCATTGTTTTTAGATATTTAGACTACTGGAAGATTATTATTCAAATTCTACCACCCGCCTCGATAACACTCCGCTATTTGATGCTAATAGGCAGCGTCAGATCCACTTCGCTCCTGATGCCTCACAGTCCACTTTGACAATCTTCAAAATCCAATGCAAATCCTATCGCCGGCGTGTGCAAGACAATCTCCCACAATATTGACTGTCACTCACAATTAGAGGACCAAAGCGAAGGGGTCGGTACTCGCTCGCAACCCGAGGCTGGTGCAAGCAGCTCCCTAAACACACCCCACAGAATGTGATCAGTGAGTATAATTTCCCCAGCAAATATCCCAGGGGTGAGCCACTTGCCTTAACAGGAAAGAGGAGATGTTTAACAACCATTCAGCTGATAGTCCTTCTATTCAGACCTGCTTTAGCTATTGTGTTTGCCTCTGTAAATGTGCCTCCAAAGGGAATGTGACCAGATAGGCAGCATTAATTTGAATAGACATAGGGGGAGAGAAAAAAAATCATTTGATCCTAGACCCCTGTTGCTAACTCTAGATGATTGACCAATTTAGCGCATCTGCTAACACATTTGTGCAATCTTCTGTTATTAGTTCAAACATATTTCTGCTAAAAAAGAAAAACAGTGGAATACTGAGGGTTGAAGAATGCAGCTATTTTGTCATTGGAAAAACAATTTGTTTAAATGCTTCAAACAGGAAGTGCAACGATAATAAATTTGATTTAGAAAAATATTATTGTAATTCTATAATTTGTTTTGACATGCTGAGAAAAACATGGATGTCTAAAAACATCATTTGTTTTTAATAAATTGACTGGTGAAATGAATAATTTAAATTGCTTACATTTAAATTAGATTATGTAAATATCTAAAATAAATGACAGGCAAAATGTTACATTCACATTAAAGTCTTGATAAATAAGACAGAAAAACAAAATCAGTGTCAAAAATTTAATTCAACAGAAACAAAAAAAGATATAATTATGTGGCAATACTTATCATGGTGCAGCCTCTAAACACATGTCAGTCAAGCAAAAGAAAAACATGACAAAGCATAAAACAAAGCATAAATTAAATAACCTTTTTTCTTTGTAGCTTGGGGCTTTAAACTAAACCGATGCAGGATTATATATCAACATACAATACATCAAGAGCCCCCCAGCTTTGACATTAAAAAGGTTAACTAATTCTCTAAATCAAGTCAGATCTGAATCTGTCATCTTGCCAGAACAAGTCGACATTCAGTCAGCTTGCCATTTCCGAGAGCTGACGCTGAGAGACGTGACAAGCCAAGCAGACAGATGAATAGATGGATGGAGTTTGAAAGTCCAGCATCCATCACACGCCAGTCCAATAAGCAGTTCCTCTATGCTTTCCCCGGCGGCGGCTCTACATGTGGAGACCTACAGCCATTATGTTGTGTAAGGCCATTTTCTGTCACTGGCCATGTGCTGTCTCTCAAATCACTGGACACAGACAAATAAACTAGTCCCAATGTAAATAGACAAACATTGTGCTCATAGCGCTATTTAACTGAAGTAAACAATCTAATGGTTAGCATTTCTAATTCCTACCTGGCTGAGAAACTGAAAAGAAACAAAGAACTCTTCGACAATAGAAACTTAAGTTTTATTTAAAGTTGACCTCACTGATTTAAAGCAGGGRTGTCAAACTCATTTTCACCAAGGRCCACATGAGCGTTATAGTGGTCCTCAAAGGACCAGTTGTAATTAATTTTAACAAACAATAACTGAGCTCTACGTGGTATTTCCTGCATAGAAACACAGAAACACATCCTCTTATAAATACTGAAAAGTACAACGTGTACAAGTGACTGCATGTTAGACAAATAATGCAGAAATACTATTAAAAGTACAATGAAGGGAGTTTTACTCACTGTTKAGTTGTGGTGAATAGCTGCTGTCTCTGAACTCTGAACTCTCCCACTTTCTGACAGGAAATTCCCATGTATAATCGACTTGAATTATAGGAGATGTAGTTTATGGTCAATGCTGGCTTTAAGTCATTTTATTTTGAGACATTAATACAGGGCTATTCAACAAAATTGCTCAGGGTTCCACAGTTACTTAAAACCAACAGCTCAGGGGCAGGATAAGTATTATCTTTCACCTTTTTAATTAATTAATTTTGTTATATTGAATCATAAATTTAAAGTTTACCATTGATTTGAAATCTATTTTTATATTAAATTGAGTTTAAAAAATAATTTTCTAACAGCTCCTTTGGCAGGCCGGATAGAAGTCACATTTTGCCCGCAGGCCTTGATATTATCACCAGCGCTGCACATAACTCAGTACACTCTCTAAACAGAATTGATCCTTTGGTATATCTGTTCACAGTTTATTTATTTTACATAGACAACGTACAACATTTCATTAACCTTTTAAAAGCAGAGATGCACCAGGTTCTAGCAAGAATGCTCCTTTCCACGTGCAGTCTCCGAACAAGTTGATGGTAATCAAACACAATTTAACAGATTAAGAATTGGTGAAGAACTAGTATAAGAATTAATTACATGCATGTCCAATAATTCACTATTTACAAYGCACTACAACCAAACAAACAAATCAAACTTCTATCTTACATACAGGGTATAAAACCATTTCTTTGCCTAATGAGTGCATATCTGTTTATYTAATAACCACTTTCATAATAATCTTTAACTTATTAATTATTTCCAACAATCCTATTTTATATCAGACAACAGTTTTTCTTTAACTGTGACTGCCTGAGCAATTGTCTTCATGGTGTCACACGGCACTGAGGAACAGTCACAGAGGAAAATTGTCAAGATAGAGACAACACGGCAGTGATGAGAGATGTGGGGGTGAGGTCTCCATGCTTTTTCACAGCAAGCGGGTAATTGTATCAATATGTAAAAACTCTCTAGCTGCGCTGAAGAATTGTTAATACATTTTTGATCAAATTAAACCATTGTTGAGTGGAGGAGGAGGAGATGCACAGAGACCACGCTGGGGTCGTGTGAAGTGCCATGCAAGCAAACTCGCTTCATTGTTTTCTCAAATTGCTGTGAATCTGAATGATAATTAGAGGAATGAGAGATTAGGCTTTTTTTTCCAGAGGCAACATAACTAACATRCAGCTGATTTTAATTTCATGTCTCAATGAGGCTTCATTGAGGAAATCAAACACTGTTGCAGACGGAAAGCAAACGCAAGTCTGTAGGTTACAYTTCAAGAATCCAAGCTGAACTTCAGTGACACACTGCTGAGATATGCCGTCAAGCTCCGAGCAAACGACTAATCCACACATGTTCTCACTCATAGACGGATTTGGCTGGAGGATCAAGGACAGTGTGGAGGAGATGGACACTATCCTTGTTGACAGTACCTTGACAAGTGTAATCCTATATAATACACACTGGGTAAACACAACACCAATCCAACCGTGCAACCACAGCCCACACTTCCTCTGCTCTGCCTTTGAATTCAACATTGTTTCAAGGTTTGAAACAATGTGAAAAACGTTCAAGACGGTGCTTTACAAACAAGTGCAAAAGTAAATATACAACTATACAAAGAATACATTTTTGTACGGAAAAACAAAAGCAGCCATGAGAATAATTTGTTGCCTAAAACAACAATCATATGCATATTCACACACATTCATCAATGATTGGGACACATCTATAGGATATTTTCATATGACAAAAAACAAAGCATGTAAACTGTGCGACTGTAAATTCCTTATTGAAGCAAAACATCATAAATGTCAGATGCAAGTGGAATTTTTTTGGGCAGAATAAATGAATGTTCAAAATATCATGTTTACATTGTTTTAAAAAATGTATAATTTTTATGACATTCTTCTAAAAG